AAGACAAAGACTGAGGAACTGTCACAGATTGGAGGGAACTAAGGAAACATGACAACTAAATGCAGGTTGGCACCTTGGATTGGATCTCAGACCAGAAAAATAGCATGAGTGAAAAAACATGTGAAATTTGAACAATGTCTGTAGTTTAGTTAGTAATATTATACCAGTGCTAATTTCCTGGTTTTTAGAGGAGGCTGGGTAAACAGTACATGGGAACTCATTATACTGCTTTTGCAAGGGCCCTACAAGTCTAAAATTACTTCAAAATAAAACTGTGTGTGTGTGTGTGTGTGTGTGTGTGTGTTTAAAGCTTCTAGGTCCTATTTGCTCATGGTCATCTTCTCAATAATAGCGAGTAGTATTAAATGATCTATGAACTTTCTCCTAGTAATTTACTCATTAGTTATTATGTGACCTTTCCAAGGTAACATAGTACCTTAACTCAGTTAATATGGGTATATTTCTAGATAGGGTCTTTAAGCAGTTAGTGTAATTAAGAATGTCAGGCTTTTGATAGAGTTAGCAGAGAAGATAATTTAGGTAAAGGAGAATTTTCAAAGTTTTCAAATGATGTAATGTAGGTAGGTAACATATTCAATACACAAGGTAAACCCTTCATTTACTGGAATACACAATAGTCATTAATATTCGTTATTTCCTCAAAATTTATTGGAAAACTTACTTAGGGCCTGAGATGGCTAGGTGATGGAAATACCAAAGGAAGAAGATATGGTCCCTGTTCTAAATGAGTTAAAATAAATTACAATATAATAGAAGAAGGAACAGTAAATACAAAGGCATTTATTTGTTCATTTGTTGAATAGTCATTGAGCTACTACCTTGCTCCAGGTATTATTTTAGACTCTAGAAATACAATATTGAATATAACCTACGGTTTCACATCTCAAGAAGCTGAGAAGCAAAGCAATGAGTGAGTGTTGTACAAATACTATAAACTCCAGGCTGGGAGAGTTTTATTTCTGGTAATATGGGAAATGAGGTATCTAAAGAAACCTTTCAGACTGCAAAAATTGGTAAAAATCTTCAATTTCTTCATCTTTGGCCTTCGTGGCTGGTGTGTAAATTTGAATAATAGTCCTTAATAACTGGTCTTTCTTTTATGCATATGGATAGTATCTTATCACTGACAGCATTGTACTTCAGGATAGATCTTGAAAAGTTCTTTTTGACCACGAATGCAACGCCATTCCTCTTTAACTTGTCATTCCCGACATAGTAGACCATATGACTGTCCAACTCAAAATGGCCAATACCAGTCCATTTCAGCTCACTCATGCCTAAGATATCGATGTTTATGCGTTCCATTTCATTTTTGACAATTTCCAATTTTCCTGGATTTATATATTCCTTAGAAGCAAGAATGGCAAAACTGTGTCTCATATACCTTGGACATGTTATCAGGAGGGATCAGTCCCTGGAGAAGGACATCCTGCTTGGGTCAGGGTCAACGAAAACCCTCAATGAGATGGATTGACACAGTGGCTGCAACAATGGGCTCAAGCATAACGATTGTGAGGATGGCGCAGGGCGGGGCAGTGTTTCCTTCTGCTGTACACAGGGTCACTATGAGTCGGAACCGACTCGACAGCACCTAACAACACAACAACAAAGAAACCTTTACCAGTTACCAGTTGCTATCGAGCTGACTCTGACTCATGGTGGCCCCATGTGTGTCAGAGTAGAACTGCTCCATAGGGTTTTCAGTGACTAATTTTTTGGAAGTAGATCTCCAGAGCTTGCTTCTGAGGTGCCTTTGGGTGGACTCGAACTCCAACCTTTCAGTTCGCAGACGAGCACTTTAACCATTTGCACCACCCAGGGACTCCAAAGAAACCCTAAGCATCTAAAAATGCCAGATAAATATTTAAAACAAAGTATTTCTAAATGCAGAGCTGGGCTAGTAGGAGAGAAGGGGAAATCCTCAAAGGCCAGCAATGAGATGAGTGATGATACCTGGGCAGTGGAGCCAAACAGATGATTAATCACAATCAATGAAAGTCTTACACATGAAGATAGAAACAAAAACCCTAGACAAAAAATTGGCCAGCAGAATCCTATATAGTACATATATTACATCATAATGAAGTTCACTTTATTCTAGGAATGCAAAGTTAGTTCAAACTCAGAAAATCTCCTAATGTAATTTATATAACAGATTTAAGGGGAAAAAATATGATCATCTTAATAGATTCAGAAAAAGCATTCAGTGAAATTCAACATGCAGCAGACTAGGAACAAAAGGGAACTTCCTTAACTTGATCAAAGACACGCATAAAAAATGACAGCAAATATCGTATTTAATGTTAAAATTATTCCTTTTGAAATCAGGAACAATTCAAGGATATCCTTTTTCACTTCTATTCAATATTGTGTTAGAAGTCCCAGTTATGCTAGGTAAGTGAGAAAAAGATATAATAAGAATTAGAAAGAAAGAAATAAAATTGTTACTACATGCAGATGATATGATTGCATAGAAAACCTGAAAAATCGACAGAGTATTATCAGTAGAGACTTCAGAAAGGTTACTAGACATAAAATCAATTGGAAAAAGTCAGTTATATTCTCTATACCAATAGCAAAGATTTAGAGTTTTAAATTTTAAAAAAGATGCCACTTAAAACATCAAGAAATACACCCAATACTTAGGAATAAATTTTAAAAGATGTATAATACCAGTCTGCAAAAAAAAATTCTAAATGTGTATTAAAATATATTTGACAAAATTTTAAAAAATGTACTATACAGGAATGAAAGGAAATTTAGAAAACCCAAATAAGCTAATAGAAAATAAAAAATTACCTATAATTCCACAACCCCAACTACCTTTAAAGTTCTAGGATGCATCCTGATAGACTTTTTAAAAATACAATTACATGTGTAAAAAATAAAAATAAAAAAAGACATTTGAAAATACCTAAATAAATGGATCAGAAGGAAGGCTCAGTTTTACAAAGATGTCAATTCTTACAAAACTAATTTATAGATTTAATGAAATTCCAGTCAAAATCCCCAGATAATTTTTCTTGAAAATCACAAGCTAATTATGAAATTTATATGATAGGGCAGAGAGTTTATTATAGTTAAAACACCCCTCAAGTAGATAAAGAAAGTAGGAGGTTGTCCCCAACCAGATGTCAAGATTTACTACAATGCTGTATTAATTTAGTGTGATCTTCTCACAAGGGTAGACAAATGGAATCGAGTGAAGAGCCCAGAGACAGACCCATGCACTTATAAAAACGTGACATTTTTCCAAGTAAAACTGCAGAACAAATGTTGGACTAGTCACAAGTAATGTAGAACTCCTAGTTATCTCTGTAAAAAAATCATATCGGCTCCCTACCTCATAACTTACTCAAAAATTAATTCCTGATGGATGGAGGATTTAAAAAGGAAAAGCAAAATTTTAAACTTTTAGAACACTATCCCTATTCTTAGGAAATACATACCAATGCATTTAGGGGTGAAGGGCCTTAAATTATTTTCTCACCTTTAAACGTAAAGAGAGAGAATGAGGAAGTAAGTGGAGGTAAAATCCATACAGTACATGAATCTGGGTATTGGGTATACTGGTGTCCTTTGTACTGTTCTGGGAATTTATCTATAAGCTTAAAATTATTTCCAAATAAAAGATTTTAAAAAAAAACTTTTACAAGAAAATATAGGAGAACATCTTTATCACCTCAGAATACAGAAGCCATTCTTAAACACAATTTAAAGGGTAAACATCATAAAGGAAAATACTGATGAAATCAATTACATTAAAATAAAAATTTCTGTTAATTAAAAGATATCCTAAAGAGAATGAAAATAGAGGCCATCAACTGGGAGAAGGTATTTGCCACACACAAAGCTGACATATATACAAAGAACTCCTATGAATCAATAACAGATAACGTATAGCTTACTATATAAGTAAGAAGAAGTACAGCCAGAATGCTCCTCAGAAGCGAAGATGGTGAGACTTCATCTCATGTACTTTGGACATGTTATCATGTTATCCTTGGAGAAGGATATCATGCTTGGTAAAGTAGAGGGTCAGCAAAAAAGAGGAAGACCCTCCACGAGATGGACAGACATAGTCGCTGCAACAATGGGCTCAAGTGTAACAACGATTGTGAGGATGGAGCAGGAAGCCAGTATTTCCTTCTGTTGTACACAGGGTTGCTATAAGTTGGAACTGACTTGACGGCACCTAACAACAACAACAGAGCTTACTATGTGCCAACTTCTATTAAAAAACAAACAACCCAATGGGGGGAGAAAAGAAGAAACATTTCACAAAAGAACAAAAACCAAATGTTAATAAACAGTAAAAGATGCTCAAATCCTTTGTAACCAGAAATACAAATTAAAACCCCAATGAGACATAATTTCAGAGCCACATCACTGACAAGTATTAAAAAGCTTGACAATATCAAGTGTTTAGAAAGATGTGGAGCAACAGGATGTCACATACACTGAGATATGGTAGGTCTCAGTACAACCACTTCAGCATCACCTATTAAAGTTGACCCATCCATTTCATGCCTAGATACTTACGTCGTTGTTGTTGTGACAGAGAAGGCAGCAGCTGAGCACTTATAGACAGTAGCGAAATTTTTGCACATGTTTACCAGGAGACAAGTATAAGATCACTTATCATGGTGTTGTTTGCAATACATAAAAAAGAATGAAAACAACCTACAATTTTCATCAGCAGTGAAATGAATTAATAAACTATGATATATTCATAGAATGGTATACCAAATACAGCAGCATGAATGAGTCAGAATAATGTTAGGAAAGTGAAGTAAGTCCCTGAAATATATATCCAAGAAGCCAGGAAAAGATGAGATTTGAAAAATGAGGAGTGAGTTAGACAAAGAGAGGAAAAAACGCTCTGATCACAAACACAGGGAATCAAATAAAAAAAAAAAAAACCAAAAAACCCATAGTCATTGAGTAGATTCCGACTCTTGGCGACCCCATGTGTTACAGAGTAGAACTGCTTCATAGATTTTTCTTGGCTGTAATCTTTACAGAAGCAGATCTCCAGGTCTTTCTTCTGTGGCACTGCTGAATGGGTTCAAACCACCAGGCTTTAGGTTAGTAGTCTAGCACAACCTATTGTGCCACCCACAGATCCCCAGGGGACCCCTAGATATGGAACATTATGATCTATTTAGGAACTGCACATGCATACCCCCTCCCTATCCTAAGTTTCCCTAATATGGAGCTCTATTTTCCATGAACTGACTTCTGGATACCTCTTTATGAACCATAAGAAATTCTGTATAAGTAAATTGTTTGTTGGGAATAATTGGAAAAGGAGAAAAGTGAGGTTGGAAAGCAAATAAAAGAAGTAAAGCAGTTAGGAAAGAACCAGAGATTTTTACCATTAATTCCTCTCTAGGAAGCCGGGTAGGGACATTTAAATCCTGGGCTGACTCCTGACCTCCAGTAGCATCCCCAAGGAGGAAAAGTGCAAAGATGAATGTAAGACGTGCTTCGACATGCAGATCATGAAGTCAGAATGAAGATTACGCTAACTTGGACGCTGGAGAGGGATTCTGAAAATCAAAGACAGCTAAATTCAGGTTTTCCCTGAGCTTTTTCCATCTCAAGTCCGTAAGTTACTCTATGTTGCTGAGATCAGTGGGAATCATCAATTGACTATTTAAGTCAGGGGGTTTTTGTATTCAGAAAGAAATGTTTACTGTAGTGGGACTTAAAATTAGTATTCTACTTATTAAAGCTATAAATTAAGAATCTCAGTTTTTATAATCTTTTAAATTCAGCTTGCAAGCCTTTCCTTTTTATTTAGAAATGCAGTTATTACCCAAAAATAAGAGACATTTTAACATTTCTTGATTAATGCTTAAATTAACTCATATATTAAAAGAACAACCAATAAAATTTCCTTAGACATTTCATACTACAATTATGAACGTAATACACACAAATTTCTCAAATACTTCAAATGCCTGTCAAGCAGATTTAGCAAATTTAATAAGTACATTCTTTCCTAGCTCTTAATCAACTACTCTAACGCCAATAAACTTTAAAATACAGTAAAGCCAATGATTTTAATCTCACATATCTTAAAATCAGATAAAACATACTCCAACTAGCACAGTAATAACAAAACTTATTACATTCATACTATCCCCCAAAATGCATACCTTAGATAACAATACCAGTATTACATCAATCTCTTTATCCTGGAGTTACGAATTTACCCAATGAAGAACAATAGCATTAGCCCTCTGGCTGACCACAGCAACTGAAGTAGAATTCGCTTATAGGTCTTGCCACTAGACTGAGTACTTCTGTCCCAACTACACAAGCCACAGGCCAGCAAGCTGAGCCCTGGCTGAACCTGAAGCTCTGTATGTTTACCCAATTATTTACTGAAATGCTTTCATAATATTTCCCTACATACACAGACTCTCCCTCCAGTGCCCTGCCCCACCCAGACTGCAACATTTTTACGTCTTTTCATTTGTGAAATTCAGCACCCTCTTAATTTTTTACTTTCTCATCTGTTTTATCGTGTCTATAATCATTTATATACACAAGGCAAACCCAGAGGGGAGAACTAACGCTCTGAATCATATATTCAGAAAAACATTGGACATTTGGTTAGAAGATGAGCCAGAGACAAAAATTACCCTTAGAATATGAATTATCTACAAGAAAGCAAAAATTTTTGCAAATGTCTTGAAACTATGGGTAAGGGAGTTTCCAAATCATTTTCTGACAAGCAGGGGTTGGTAAATAAAAATTACTTCTGCACCCGTTATACTAGCTTGAGATATGTAAAATGTCTTTGTCTTTATCTAGTGCAGTGTCACACACACGTATATGCGTGCATGTGTGTGTGTGTGTGTGTATGGGTTTCTCATACCTTTACTGCCAACATCCACCCCTCTTTCAACATGTGACCAGACTGTGTCCAGGCCTCACGAGGGGTTGGGGTGAGGGGCCACAGATGCTACCACAGTAGCAGAAATAATATAAATGTAATCAGTTCTTGTCCCTGGGTGGTGCAAAGAGTTGCCACACTCAGCTGATAACCAAAAGGTTGGAGTCCACCCAGAGGTGCCTTGGAAGAAAGGCCTGGCAATCTACTTCACAAAAATCAGCCACTGACAACCCTAGGGAGCACAGTTCTACTCGGACACACATGGGGTCACCATGAGTCAGAATCGACTCCACAGCAACTGGTAATCAGTTCTTTCCCCTACCTACTAGTGCAAGGCCTTGGGTTCCTATAAAGTCCATGCAAATAATTTTTGGGTCCCCTACAAATGTCTCTCATGTTCTCATAAACAAGCCCACTCATGCAGCTAAGGCAGCGTTCTATTTGATTTAAGCATGGTTCATCGACTTGCCATGGACT